CTAAAAAATGTAAACAATCTTTGATTTTGTTGTTTTTTTTCTATTGCATTTTGCATATAAGTTTTAAAATGTATGCATTCTTGTGTAAATGTATTTTCATCAATGTCAGTTTCATAAAATTGTTGTAGTTTTTTGGCTTCTTGGGCAATATCATCAGTATCAATCGACTTGTCTATGTTGATCAAAAATTTGAATTTATCGTAAATATTTTCATACCCAGAATGTCTCATATCCAGTTGTTTTCTGAGTTGATCCAATACGGCAAAATAAACAGTTTTTAATTTATCTTTACCGCCAAAACCACTTCATTTGCTCTAGAACTACATTCGTCTAGTTCATCGCATAAAAGGGATCGCGTAAGACGACGTTTTTTGTCTAATTTATATTCTTCTTTTCTAATTTTTTTTGCTTCATCAATGAATTTTCGGAACATTTCATCAGTTCTTATTTCACTCAAATCACCAATTAAAGATTTGTATAGATCAACAACATGTTCCAAGTTAACTGATGTTGATTGTAAAATTGTGCTTGTTTTATTGAATTGTTCTAGCAGAGAAGTCCAAAATACGGCCATAAAGACCGACTCAAAGGTACTAAAGTTGGTTTTTAAACCTGCAGCTTTTTTACGATTTATGGGGTTTTCAGAATTATTATTTTCTATATCATTCAATATTGCCATAAATTCTTCCCAACTATTTTTAAAAGAAGAACATGCATTATAACGACTAGACCACCTAGTTCCAGTAGCTCTTTTTACTACCTTCTGATTTGGTTTCAGTTTCTGTTTCATCAATTGTCACCGATAAGTAGATTTTGCAAAAAAATCATAGATGGCTTCTAAGTAATCAAAAAAAAAAAAAAAAATGCCGCTTCTTTGATAGAATCGACCGCGGACAATCCAACGAGGTTTAGACCTCCACATAGTACATAAATTGCTAATGGATTTAGGTTTTGTATCCTTGTTTTTAACCTTGAGTAACATCCAGACATGTTTACGGCGGTATCATAAGATTGACCACGGCAATCCTGTAAATTCAAACCAAATTCTTCCAGTGTACCTATAACTGAATTTAGCATGTCTTTCACCTTATGTCCAATATTGGGTATAAATTTTAAAAATCGTTCAACTTCGGCTGGCGTATCTTCTTGAATTTCTCGTTTTACATATCTGATTACAAACGACAGTTGATCCACGTGACTGATATCGGGCGTTGAATCAACAACAATGGAAAAATACTTGCTACGATTTACTTCATCAATAATCACACTTAATACTATTTTTGTAATCAAGGAAATACACTTTTCGCAAATTGTAGAAGACAGATAGGATGTCTTACCTCGACCCGGGTTTCCATAAGCATCTATATGATTAGACATGAAAGGATCGAATTCTGCAATAAGCTCCAAGCACATCATAAAATTCCCATTCTTATTTGACCCACATTTCTCATTCTTCCCTCTAAATGGTAGTCCTCAACTACCAAGTTTTTTTTACTACCGCTACAACTCGTTGAAGCATATTTCGCCAATAATTCATTTCATTTTTAATTTGTAGTTGGAGCCCTTTATCTATTCGATTTTTCAACTTACTTCTGTTTAAGAAAGTGCTAGAGCTTTGAACATGCTCTGTGGAATTTTCATGGGAGGTTAGACCGCTGTGTACATTATTCCAATCATCATATCCATCTGTACCAAATTTTGAACTACCTTTACTAAATAAATGGCATGGAATGCAAAAAAGTGCCTTTTTATTCGAAGAATAGCATAAATATTTTCTGTGCAGTTTTCCATTTTTCATTTTTCTTTCAAATGCAAGTTTTGTCAATGACCGATATCCACTTACTGAGGAGTAATACTTCCTTGTGACAGAAAAATCTTCAGGTATGTTCTGATCGATATCTCTCGAAAGTAGTTGGTCTATTGTCGTCTCGTTTATTACCCATTTGGCAGGATCGGTATTTACAGTTATATTATCAAGAGATACCGGACATTTCGGGGCTGTAAATTTAGCTATATCTACGGAAGTCAGATCTCCAGCATCACCTGCGTGGCTTTCTTTCTCTAATTCTTAAGGCGTTGAAACGGAAAAAATGATAGGGCTAGGTGTAATATCTAATTCAGAATTGGGATGACAAGTTGAACCCGTTGAAGTACTTGTAGTTAATGTGAGAGTAGTAGTTGATGTTGATGAGTCTATATAAATATAACAATATTCATTAATCAACATTAAATTATTTAAATTGTAAATGGAAAATTCTACATAATTGTAAATTAAATAAAAATTGTGTTATAATAATTTATGTTGAAAAAAATATTTTTTTTTTTTTTTTATGCATATTTGTTTTTAACACGTTCACTGTGGATCATATTAAAATACACATTCCTATATTAGGTATCTAGTACCTACATACTACCTATATTACCTATGTTTATAAATTATAATAAAATTTTGCACACAAAACATCACGGAGTTAGATACAATAATACAAATAAAAAATGCTGATTGGAGCACAGCAATAATAGAAAAAAAAAATTTTATTATTATAAAATATAAGTTACTGTGATGTATCAAATAATTATACAAACATAGATAAAGAAGTAATACAACATCTAATATTATTAAAAAACGTCGAATCGCAACTACGAATTAATCAGTGACGTGCGAGGGCGATATTAAATAATTAATATAATTTAATTAATATTATATTTTTATTCAAGCTTCGGCTGAAACACACTTTATTAATGTATTGTAAAATATTGTGCGGATGACACCATTTTATTGGCAGGTTAACCAAATCGCACTATCGCAGTGAACGTGTCATTAAAAATTAAAAAAAAATTTTTTTTTTTTAAAAAGTAAATTTTTTTTACCTGTTTTTAAATTTGTGAAAAAACTATCAAGTTTTCTTGTTTTTTGAATCACCCCTTTTTCCTTTTCTTCGTGCTCTTCTCGGAGCTTTTTGTATTTTGCACCACTTTTAATCTACCATCACTCATTATGATGTAATAATTTGAATAATAAATTTTAATACAAATTAATAAAGACGTCGTTAGTTGCACTGTCGGACAGTGTAACGGTATAATCAGTATACTAAATACTAATGAGTAAAATAATGTTATGATAAGAATAATATGTATAACATTCTTTGTGATTGTAAATAATAGAATCACGAAAATATAATACAATTGACAGAAAGAACGTCGTATGGCCGTATCGGCTATCGCTATAATATATATATATATCTATAATTGTAAATTTTAAATAAACCATTTCAGGGAAAAACATAGTTTCGCTAATAATAAAAATTCGAGTTCATCGCGTTCACTGAAACCATTTCAGTATTCAGTATTTCAGTGAGTTAAATGTTAATAACCTAATGGCCAATATTCGTAAATATATTTTTTCCTAAGTGCAACAAATTTGACTCCCCGACAAATTTGCAAATCTCCAATCATCTGATTACTTTGCCTGTAGGGTAACCCGTCACTGCTCACCATATATTCACGCAAATCACCTGCAGGGGGGTTAGATAACATTTCCCCCTTCTTCCCCACATCTTTCGATCAAAGCATCCGATATATTATTAAAAGTACTTAATGATCTTTGGTTAAATAATATTGTACCTGAGTCAAGGAGACAATTTAGAGTAATTCCCATACCTAAACCTGCTGTTAAACATCCAGCGTACCGCCAAATCGCTTTATCATCGGCTTGTTGCAAACTTATAGAATATATGTTAAAAAATCGATTAGATTGGTACCTGGAGGCTTGCCGTCTAATTCCAGATAATCTGTTAGGATTTCGACGAGGTCTTGGCACCATGGAATGTCTTTCAAATCTTATTAGTCCTATCTATGATACTTTTTGCAATCGTCAGTTTCTCACGGCTGCTTTTGTTGTTGTGAAAGGTGCATACGGTTCCATCTATATTCAAATTCTTATACTTCGTTTTCAGGATCTTAATGTTCCAGAAGTCTTCTATGATTATATATAAAACTTATTTCATGCTCGTTTTTTATATTTCACATCTCTATCTGGTGCAGAATGCATTCGCTCATCATACAGGGGACTGCCACAAGGAAGTTGTTTTAGTCCTATTCTATTTAATTTTTATATGACACCATAAGTAAAAGCTTATCATATCACGATTACTCATGACTATTTTATGCTGACGAAATTGTCGTTTTTTCAGTTGACAAATCTCTCAATCGTACTATTTTCTGCTTAAATTCTACATTAAATTCGTTAAACAACAAATTTCTATCTGCATTTTTTAAAGTCGCTCCTGACAAAAGCCAATTAATGATTTTTACTAGAAAACGTCACGTTGATTTCTCCCCTGTTTACATCAACAATAAAACCATAGTCCCATCCAATACAATCATATACCTTGGTCTCATTCTTGACCTAAAACTCAGATGGGTCTCTCATTTCAACTATCTTAAATGTATAATTTCTAAATGGTCCAATCTACTCAGAGCATTTGCAGGCACTTGGTGAGGTACCATCATCTCTCTTATTAGTATACAAATATATGTATTATCTGTTCTAAAGTTAATTACGGTTCTTTTTTGTTCTCGTCTGCGTCCCGATCACACTACAATAAGCTGAATGCTGTGCTAACCTCGTGTCTCCGCACAGTCATCGGAGCTATACGATCTGCTCCGAACATTTGTTTGGAACTGGAATGTGTCTGTCCATTTATAGAAATTCGGTCTCGTTGACTTGCAGGATAGTTTTTGTTCAAGCACATTTCAAACTCTCCTAATTCTATATTTAATGAGTTTTCATCTCTGGCTACTCATTGCCGATACGTCCCAAAAACTCTCCCAATTTTAGCTTCCATTGCGTTTTCTATTAATCACTTCACCTCCTCTGTCATCTTACCCCAAAGCCTCTTCATTGTTTTGATATTCCGTTTGAAGTTCTCAAATTTCTTCCTCGAATTCATATATTACTACTTTTTAAGAATTACAAGTACAATAGTGATAAAGTTAATATGCCTACTTTCTCTGAATTTATAGAATTAAATTTCCATGATTATTTTTTGGTTTATACTGATGGCTCAGTGTCAACCAACTCAGCAGGCTTTTCATTCTTTATCCCTGAAAAGATGGTCAAATATTCCGATACCTTACCTCATGTCACTTGTTCTTTTATGGCAGAATGCTATGCGATTACGACAGCTCTTGAGTATATCAAATCTTTAAACATTACAAAATGCTTGATTGTCTCGGATTCCCAAGTAGCTCTTATCTCGATCTCTGCAATCACATCTCCCCTTATTCTTAATATCAAAGCTTCGCTTTTTGAATTATATTCACAGGATATAATAATCAAATTTTTGTGGGTCCCAGGCCATTCTGGAATCTCAAGTAACGAAGTTGCTGATCTCCTCGCTACATCCACCAAATATCGTTTAAACCCATCTGTTCGTAAAATCCCGTCCTCAGATTTTTAAATATTTTACAAACTAATAACAAACAAGCTTGGCAAAATAGATGATCATCAGTAGCACCTACTTTCACTAAGTGGTATAGATTCATAACTCCTACAATTCCACGATACCCATGGATCATTAAACAGCCTCTAGACAGATCCCTCATCACATCGTCCGATTTGCAAGACCCAGACTTGGTCACAATTTACTTCCAGCCAATGCCTTTCATCTCGACTTGAATGACTCCCCTTTGTGCATTCGTCATGCAGAAAAAACAATTTGCGACTTCTCTCACATTCTTGCCAATTGCCCATCACTCTCTAGTTCCCGATCTAAATTACTCGGTAAAATACGATTGAGAATATTACGGTTGAGAACGTTATTTTTGGTAACACGATTGAGAACGCTCGATATTTATTTTTTTTTCCAACGTTGCCAAATTTAATCGAAAGATAATTTGAGCACCATAATCGGCTATCGAACGATAAAGAACATTATACCGTTACACGTTTATCGGATGTTATTTATAACATAGATACCAGATATACGAGAGAATGACTCAATAGGCGTTGTAGTCATCACACAAACGTCAACGAAGTATTCGTCAGTTTATAAAATATTATATTAAAATATATTAAATACTATAATATATTAAAATTTTAAATTACTATTCGTGTAATGAAAAATAATGCAATTAAAATTATACGAAGTGAACGAGGTGAAGATCTAATACTATTAGGTAATAACAAATATCGTTTTATTCGGAAACGTAAAGACACACGGTTGAAATGGAAGTGTTCAAATAATAAATGTACTGCAAGTATTCTAACAGACACAGAAAAAAAAGTATTGATTCAAAGACTCGGTAAGCATTATCATTCCGACATCCCTATTTCTACTATAGAACGTCAAGTTGTACGTGAAAACTGCAAGCGAAAAGCCGTAGATTGCATTTCAACAAAGCCGGGAAGTATATTATTTTAAATGAAACATTTATTTTTATTTTAAATAAATAGTGAAAGTAAACTTCGAAATGCATATAAAAATTCAGATGACGCCCTAGGAAATTGGCTAAAGATGTTTTTTGGTCTTCAATTTATAAACCATGACGAAGTTTAAGATGTATTCGTGGAGTTAATCGCTGTTTGCCCAAATGAAATTGGTCACATTTTTTCAGATTATGTTTTAAATAATTACATAGAACCTGGCTGTCCGTTCAATACGAAATTGTGGGCAATGAAACCTTCGGAAAATTCTAGGTAAGTTTCAAGTAAATTAATACATGCAAATTAATAATTACTACAATTAATAACTTTCTAGGACTAACAATGCCGCTCAAAGCTTTCATAGAATATTTAACAGTCAATTTTACAGTTCTCATCCAACAATATATATTGTTATTCACTAACAATATTAACACTAATAGAAACACAATCAGAAACTTCATTAAAAATAGCAACGGTAGAACAGGGTAAAAAAAAAGAAATGCCAATAAAACAAAAGGAAAAATGAATTAATATTCATAATAAATATATGTGGTATGTAGCAAATAAAAGTTCTAGTAATTTATTAAAATATTTAGAATATGTTGGATTACGCTATCCCGCTAAAACTAATTTATAGGTAACTCATTTGTCATTACATTTATTTTTATTTTTTTTTTTAACATATTTTTATTACATATGACTTTTTTCTAGAATATTTATTAAATGATAAATAATAAATGATATGGCGACGTTGCACGTAAATTAGTTCTCAATCGTATTCTTTTTTGTGTTTTTTTATGGTCAGTGGTAAGTTCTTTGTTATTTTTAAGTGTTCTCAATCGTTCGACCAAAAAGGTATAACGTTCTCAATCGTTTGATAGCCAAATTACTTCGATTTTTAAATAATAACAATATTATGCGATTAGAACCAACAATTATTCTTAATTCCTTTTCAAGAGCCTTTATTATTATTATATTGAAATTTTTCGAAAATTTTGGATTCTTAATTTGATTATATTGGTTTAAATTTACTCAATCGTTTATTCAATTTTTTTTTTTTTGTAGGTTTCAGTTTTTGTCAGTAACCTTACTAATTATAATTTTTTAACTTTTTAATCATTGATTGTTTTTTTTTTTTTTCAGTATGTATTTCTATTGTTTTTTTTTATCTTGTACTATTATATGTTAATGTATCTTTAGTTGTAACTGTTAAGCTATAATAATTTTATATTGTTAGCTTTAATAAAAAAAAAAAAAGTAAAGTATCGATACTTTATCGCAACGTCTTTAAGTACACATAAAGTTATAAGTAAGTGAAAACATCACATAACTACTTTTTTTCTAAAGATACATTTACTACTGTAATTATTATCTTAGTCCCCTATATTCGTTTATTGTATCAAATGATCAATTCGTGATTAATATAGGCTTCTGAGTTATTATAAATCAAATGAATATCAACATTTTGAAATCAATATAAATAATTGCCAGTAAGAAATAATAAATGAACACAATTGTTGTATACTAGGCTTCGAGTTCATTGTGGTTTAGATACAAAATCAAAATGTTTTCGCACCGCTTGGAAACTATGAAAAATTGAATTTTGTGGTAATGCGATTAAAATTAAAACAATTAAACTTTTGTTTCTACCTTCACATTACATCATTTCACCTGGAGTTGAGTTTCATAATAATTAATCAACTTGTAGGTTGCGTACGTGACTATTTTGTTATAAACGTACAATACGTACAATAACAACGTAAAAAACGTACAATACGTGTATTCAATATGACACAACACTTATAAAATAATCGTATTATGGAAATAATTTTCAGGTTTATGCCTGTATAAACTCAATTAGTATTAAAGCATTACGGTTACATCGATTTAAACAAAATCAATAACTATTTAATCTTATCAAGTATATGGCAAAATTAGAATTTTCCATGAAACTGAGATGAAATTTCTATAAATATTATCATTAGCAAGCAAGTTATTATATTTCGTGCTTAAAAGTAAGCTTCCAGAATATCATAGTATACAATCAAGACCCTTCGGTCGAACGCAAAGTGAATATCAATTTTACGTACTTGGTCATTTCGTCATTATCCTATTTTTTTTTTGTAAGAAACAATAAAAAAATTTTGATTAGTCACAAAATTTTTAAATGTTGATACAATGTTCCTCATAAATTTTTCTTACTCGTATGAAAAAGTATTAAAAATGTGTAGTCACAATTTTTATAAATAAGCGTTTAAATTTTAAATCTTGAAAAAAATCACGAAATCTGTCTATTTTTAGCAGTTAAAAATCGATAAACATTTCAATATGTATATTTAAGACTTGAAAATGAAATATAATGTACTAGAGAAGCTGATCTTTCTAGCAAACCAAAAAAGTGTACAAAAGCAGCGTAAAAAAAACAAAAGAAATACTGTCACATGAGGACGAACGATTACATGATGACATTATTTGCTATGTGTCCTGCGATAATTGTTAATTTAAGTTTTTACATCACGTATTTTTTAAAAAAAAATGTATGTCTGAAGAATATGTGTGTTCAGTGATACGAATGATAGAAGAAATTTTTTTTATTCGATTGAATAAAAAGAGACTATGGGTGAGAAAATAGAATTGTAGGCGGAATAATTTGTGTATTATGAATAAATAAATTAAGGAAATTGTTATCGAGGATTCCAATATTTTAAAAACTTTTTAAGAGTGAACGAAGAAATGCTTAACTCGTCACTTAAAAAAGTAAGATTCAATTTTATATTTCAATATTATCTTCAGCAGATTTTAGTATCAGCGTTATAATATATTCATTTATTTTTCATAGGTTTCTAAAAACATCCAAAAACAGGATACAATGATGAGAAATACTCTTCCAGTAAAGTTAAAATTAAAAGTTGCTTGTAGATTTTTAGATTCACTTGCGTCTCTTCAGTATTCATATCGAGTACCAAAATACAGCATCAGTAAATTCCTACCAGATGTTTTTGATGGTTTGTATAAAGCACTGTCAACTATCTAACCGAGCTTGATGGTTCGACAACTGACAGTTGACAGTGTGACAGTATGGCACTACATATTTACACGATGATAGTTCCTTGACATTTACTGTCGTGAATGCGACTGTCAAGTGTTGTCGTGTGAACGGGGCTTAAACACACGTAAAACTTACACGTTGGTACATTAACCCCGCACCGTCCTTATTCTGTGCCTCAGTGACCACAGTAACAACAAAATCGGACCAAACACCACCATTCGCATGACATTCATGTTCTCTCCTAGCCACAAGAACCAAATATCCAATACCAATGAGCAAAACCATAGTTAAAAAAATAATTTGGAGGGTTAAGAGGAGCATTTCCTAACTGATTATACGCATTCCCCTGGTGATTAGGATAGCTAACTATCAAAAAGATACGAGAGAGTACTTAGGAAAAAAAAAAGGTAATGGTGGAAAATGTAAAAATGTATGTAAATGAAATACGAGTATTTAATATAGAGCACTATGTTTACGAAAAAGGCTTTTTTTGTTACACAGGCTTATAAAAAATAAGTGTCGTAATTGACTTATTATGAGTTTAGACCTACGACTTTACTTATACTTTACATCAGTGGAACTAGATTTAAAAAATTAAGTGTTAACAAGCAACATCAAAGAACACATTAAAATTAAATTGTAAAATGTATATTATTTTTGTATGGCTCATTCTGATTAAAATAAATAAATACTTCACAATTATTTATTTTCCATTAAAACTAATTCTATAATTTCTTATCAATCCTATGTGAAAACAAACAAATTGACAGTTGAGGATACGTAAAGCAATAGCGAGAGAACAAGGAGCACCTACATGAATAATAAAAGGATGAGAAACGTTGATTTAAAATGTAAATATATTTTTTTTATTAGTCAATTTTAAAATTTCAAAATGAATAGACATTTAAAATCAGTAAATTATATAAAATGTCAGAGGAAGAGTCTGTTTCTAACCCACCTCCCTCGAATTGTTGATGAAGTTACAA